CCTCGTGCGGAGCAGCGGGCGCAGGAGCAGGCGGAGGGGAGAGCTCCCGCTCCGAACCAGCAGAAACTGCCGAGGAACGAAGGCTGGACCTCGAGCCCAAGGGCCAGCTCCCAGGCACCCGCAGCACGCAGCCGGGGCGGAGCAGAGCCCGGGCACCACCGCGCGCGGCAGCTCTGGCCAGGACCGGTGACCTCGGGTTTTTCAACGCGTGGCTGAAGGCACCATTTCTTCCCCATCCCCACATTTCAAGCACAGGCTCTCAAAACCCCCCCAGCTTACAGGCAGGCTCTGACATAGGCAAAACGTTGGCTTTTCATCCTTAGAAACACCTGAATTGCTTGCCCGCTCCACGGAGCTTCTCCTTGTCCCATCCGTTCCCTGCCCCGAAGACTCGTGGGCCCTCTCCGCTGCAGCGCCAGCCCAGGTAACGGAGCAGCACGTGGCTCTGGACAGCCGGGCCCCAACCACGTTGCAACTGAACGTGACCCTTCCCCTCCGTCAGGCTTTCTCCTTGGTTTGGCAGCTGTGGGTTCTGGCCTTCCCCGCTGACCGAGACGCTGCAGCACGCCGACGGGTGCCAGACGTGGTCACTGCGGTGTCTCATATTGGTCTAGCAGTGAGGCAGCGTCACTTCCACACGGAAATTCCTGTTCTCTTCCTTCTCCACCTCATTTTACTTCTCCTCTTTCCTGCTTGCAGCTGGGAGTACTACGTGAACGACGCACCGCGGGTAGTCTTGAACAAGCTGGAGAGCCGCGGTTACCGGGTGGTGAGCATGACAGGCGTGGGCCAGACCTTGGTGTGGTGCCTCCATAAGGAATAGCGAGGCACTGCCGTGTTCCTGCTGGACGAGATCCTGCTGGGGACATCTCACATGGGACTGACAGCAAACCTTCCCCCTGAATTCCTTTCTGTCCCAGGCTCCAGGCGCTCGGGCATGGGGGGGAGTGGTGTAGAGGCAAAACTTGACCCAGGGGGAACTTGCCATGCTGCCACCTCACAGGAGCCGGGGGGGAAGGTACGCCAGGTCCCGAGGACACGGCGCACAGGGAACAGATGGCTCCATCTCTGCGCTCCTCCGAGCGGCAGCCTGGCAAGTGCCACCCTTGTGCGCTTGAATCATCCCCCGTTCCGGGGCATCGGAGGACACCCAAGCAACAGCCTCGTCTGCCTGTTCCTCAGGGCCGCCCCAGCGAGGCACGTGCCGAGCCGGGAGCTCAGGGCCTGCCTTCTCCCGGGCCAGGGGGGCAGCCAGGCACGGCCGGCATCGGTCTCCTCCCCGAAAGGGAAGGGGGAACAGGCAACCCTGCACGGTGCCCTTTGAGACTCCCTTCCCTCGGCAGCAAGGCCGGTTTCTCTCCCAACTGGGAGTGGGGTCAGCAGCAGCATCAGACCTTCAGCCCCAAGAGCGCCCTTCGAGCCTAACACATTGTCCTGAAACAGCCCGAGAGCAGCCCAGGCGGGTCCTGTGACCGTCTGGGGTACGGGCTCTCCCCTCTTAACCGCAGCAGTGGCGGTGCTGGAGCGGTTGGGCCTGCGTATCGATCCTGCTGTCAGGGTAACACCAATAAAGCATTTCCCTCCTCTTTCTGTGGTTTGTTTTAAACAGTTGTTGCAACAACTGGCTCCACATCTCCTGAACAAGCTTTCAGGACCTGGAAGCAGCTCCGAGGTTTGGGGTTCCGAGAGCACCGCTCGCACCCCGTCCCCTGTGACCGGGCGGCTGCTCGGAGTACACGGACAGACAGGTAACACCTGGGGAAGCTCATGCAGCCATTTTTTATCCCCCACTATGGCAAGGGATAAGGGCTGCAGCCACTGAGAGTTCATATTCCTGCAACAGTTTTTAAAAAAAAGGAGGTTTATTGACTTAATTTAAGAAACAGCTTTGGAAATGAAGAATGATGGGGGGGGTGGGGAAAGAATCCATACTCTTTCATGCTAGGTGTGAGACTCTTCCTCATCCTCCCGCTTGAGCTGCTCAATAAGCTGCTGCCTCTCTGCTGCTTGGCGCATCCGCATCATCACCAGGCTCTCGTAATCCCGCTCCGATACCACCGACGCCTGGGAGCAAAACCAAATGCAAGCTGTCAAGGAGAGCCCAGAGCCCAGCCCCCCCTCTCCATAACCCACCCCCCCGCCACGGCCATTCCAGTCAGGAAGGTGGTTCCTGGCAGTTCGACCCCATAGAAACCAGGACCAGAGCCCGCTCCACAGCGGCGCTGCTGTCGAGAGAGCGGGTGGCGCAGGGAGCCCGCGTGGCCCCCCGGCTGCTGGGGCGACTCCCCGCTCCCACGGGGGCCGCACGGGGCCGCAGGGCTCGCCTCGCCGGGGCTGCTCCTCTCGGGTGACAACTTGCTGGTGCGCCCAGGCCAGCTCCTTCCGCTGTGACAGCCAATGCCCTAACCCCCTCCCCCAAACCAAACCCCTCGGTGGTTCAGCCGTGGAAGCGGCTGCGGGCAGCCGGCCACCGGCTACGTTCCCAGGCCTGACACAAGAGAGGTTCAGTTCCCAAGAGCGCTTGGAACCTCGCTGCTGCGCGTGGTAGCGACTGTCACGTCAACCAAGCTGCCTGCAGACTCTGCCTAATGAACGTGGGCAGCAGATGACAGCTGCTGTCGCGGAGCGGAGCGGGGGCTTTGGCCCGCTGCTTTCAGAAGCCACTTACCATCAGTAGGTGGCCTTACTACTTCGGATGTATTTAAAGCACTGTGCTGCGTGGAAACACCGATCTCGTTTGCTTGACAGTTCAGGTAGAAATAAAAGCATCTTGACAGAAGGTGAATGAAAAGACACCCCACCTCTCACATTCATTTTTCTAGGAACTAGATGTAGTCGTGATTTAAGGACATCTCACACAGAACACAGACGGGACGAGGAGGCAATAGAATAACTAAGAGAGATTCGACATGAAAATGGGGCAAGTGCAAATGTGTTATGTGCCGGGAGAGTGGCTCCTCCAGCTGCAGAGCGTCTAGCTGCGAGGACAAAGCAGGAGCCCACGAGAGAGGAGACACTTAGGTGGGGAAGTCAAGAGACTAATCCCTCACGACTGGTGTCTCAGGAGCTGCACCAACGACATGACCTTTCAGCACCGCGCAGCACAGATTGTCAGTGCCTGAGAAAGCACCAGATCGTGACGCCTGCCGTGGCGGAACCAGGCTGCTCCAAAGGTCCTGTCCACCAACCGCAGCCACGTTCTGTCCCTGGCTTGGCTGAACGAAATCGCCGGGATGAGCCTCATGCGGATGAATCACCCGCACAAACCTGAATCACCACCTCGCACTCGGGATTTACACTTAAAACAGACAAGAGGTGGTTTCCAGCCCCAGCCGCGAGCCCTGCTGACACAAGAAGCCCTGAGAAACAGCAGAAGGGAGAGTGCCAGCAGACGGAGCAGCCCGACTCGAGATGGGCTCCGAGGCAGCGCTCACGCCGACAGCTCCCAGGCACGCGGGGCGCCTCTGAGGGAGCCTGCTCTCTCCCCGGCAGTGTGGGCCGATGCTTTGCCGCTCTCCACACCTACTTCCTGCAATCCTGGCAATTACCAATGGTGCAAACCCCAGTTTCTGACGTGGCTGACTCAGCAAGGGCTTGGCTCAAAACAAACACATACGCACAAGGAACTGCAGCCTGGGAAGCAGTGACAGGAGGCACATGAAGAGAAGGAGGCTTTGGGGATTTTCAGCATTCCGGGTCCAACCTGGCTGAATCGGCCCTGGACTCGCTTCTTCCAGCGCCCCAGCAGACTGGTGAGCGTGGTGGTGGTTCTCAGCAGTTCTTCAGCGGCTTCTCCTCTCTGCCTGTGGGGCTCGGGTGCTGCTCCACACGCCGTAAGTCTGGTTTGCATTCAATTTCCCTCAAGTTTGTCTTTTCCGTCCGCGTTTTGCTGCTTTTTAAATTTCCGTTTGACTGTATTTCTTCGGTTTCCTTCAGCGCGACTGAGTCACCGTCTCCCTTCCTAACCACCCACTGAGATTTTTATACTGTGCCCTCCACCAGGAAGGTGGCTGGTTACCATGGCACCAAAGTGCCCTTCTGTTCTAGATGCCAGATTAAATCTGTTCTCATGGTGACTGTGTGCCTCTGCTGTTCTTCAGCAGCTTCTTCCTGCAGCACAGATTTAATAAGCTCAGACATCGCCATTCCTTCTCCACCAGAGACACCTTAATATCCAAGACGGGCCGACTGCTCCTCACCACAGGGACGTAGTGGGACGTTTGCATTTCCTGCAATACCAGCCTCTCTGTTTTCCTTCCAGCTACAGGAACAGGGAAGGAAGAGGTTGTTCCTGTTGTGTGGCTTGCTGCTGATCCTGCGATTTAAGTCCAACACCTGACTGTGAAGAGTCAGCAGTTTCCTTCTTCTCGTTGCCTTTCATCAGCATGGATACCTGGCGGAGGGGGTCCATTAAGTCCACCACGTTCTTCAGACGTTTCTCGCTCAGGAGACACAAAAAGCTGGGCAACCAAGTCATCATCTTGAATCAGAACAGCCACACTCTGGACAGTGATGGACAGTGCCAGAAGAGGGAAGGCCTGAGGGATCTGAAGGACAAGTCCGATTACCTGTCGTGTCAGAGCGAGCAAAACCTCGCCAAGGCACAAGCACCTCCCAAGCCTCCCCGGCTGTACCTGGACAGTTCCAGCTGCCCGAACATCATCGATCGCACGGATTCTCACTCTGACATCTCCTTTTCTGGTGCTACTCATCAATACCACAAAGCCACTCAAACCCAATTCCACAAGGACCAGGCTACAGACTGTGGGACCTCAGAGACAGGGTCCTACTCTTTCCGACCTGTCTGACCCCTTCCTGTCCTTCAAAGTGGATTTGGGGCTGTCGCTTCTCGAGGATGTTCTGCAGACCCTCAGGAAACAGAACCCCAGAGATTACGCCATTTGAAGGTATTTATCATTTAACACATCACTTTCACTTACTGCTGCTGCCAGTTGCTCTAGTCCTAGCGGGAGGAAGGATACTGCAGCATGCCTGTCGTGTGTGGCCTGTTTTGTTGTTCCCGCCTTACCCACCGCAGACTGCCCCCGTCCTTGCCAAGGAGCCTTCGGAGCAGCGCTCGCGGGCTCCGTGCTCAGGCGAGAGCGCTGTCTGCTGGCACCGCGCGGGCAACTCTCCCTTCTCCACACCGGGAACTTCCCGCTCTTGACTCTGCGTCTCCTCCTCACGGCAGAACGGCGTTGTTTGGCAAAAGACTTGCTCTTTGGGGGATGTGGCTGTGGCACTGCGGAGCAGGGACAGAAAGGGATGTGGCGTCCATCATTTGGGGAGAAGCAGGCAGCTTGCAAGGAGACAGAGGGCTGCATCTCAAAGCCATAGCTACGGCACGGGCCAAGAGACAGAAACTGGTGTTTCTTCTCCCACGAGGTTTGGATGTGACAAATCAAACCCATCCCTCTTTTCTTTTCTTCTTGTGGGTTTCTTTTCCCCCAACTCAAGTGCAGTTGGCACTCCCAGCCTGGAAACAGGTAAGCATCCATGATCCCTGTAGGCTCGTAACACAGCAACACCAGTTTGTTTATCCCACTAGCAGGGGAAATGTCCCTAGGTACTGCTGCTTGAAGCATGCACTGATCTAACAGCTGTACAGCTATGGAAGAATAAATGTGTCTGTGACTGAAGTGTCTCGTGGCCTTATTTCATCAGTAGCAAGCCAGAAAGAGCCCAGGCAGCAAGAGCACAGGTCCCTCGCCTGCAGGGACCAAGATCTCGCCTCTCTGGCACTTCAGGTTTTCATGAGGGTGGGGAAGCAGCGGGGCTCTGCTTTTCTGGGCTGGGAGAAGGCTAAAGCTGCTGACACTCCAGCTTCCCTCAGGAGGGTGCACACAGCTCAGGTCAAGACCCAGCGCTGAAAGGAACAGTTCTGCACCCGTCAGCTGGACAGTGGGAAGGGCTCAGCCAGGCTGGGAACGTTTTAGGCAGCATCAGGGCAAACTGCTAAAAGGACACTGCAGAAACTACTGGGTTCTTACCTTTTTCATAGCTAGATGAGATGCTAGGGCTCCTTTTAAAAACACTAAAAAATAAAACCTCTGTGCACTCAGGTAGCCATAAGCTTTGGAAGCCGGCTGCAGCAGAGCGCAGAGACGTTTCAGAGAAGGCACAGACGGCTCGGAGGAGCTTAGGAAAGATGCCAGAGTGCCAGACAGAAGGCTCTTCTCCGCACTTCAGTGCGGCTGAATGAACAGCCCAAAAGGAAGGAGAAGCCCTGGCAGGGAGATCCCACTGCTACAGGTGCGAGGCAGACCTTCCCAGAAGGGAGAGCTCCACGCTGCTGTAGTGCCAAAGCGTGCCCTTCACAGCTTTGTACAGCTGCTGTGTGGTTTGAACCGTCCCGAGGCGCAGCCATCGAGCAGCCGCTGCTCTCAAACAGCCTAGAGTACCGCTGGCCCATCCACAGCTTTTGTAGTTCAAGCCCAACTCACCTCGCTGGCTCCAGCAGCTCTCTGGGACCTGCTGGACACCGTGAACCCGTCGCTGTAGAAGAAAACAAGCCAACCAAGACTGTGGAGGCGAGTACCTTGCAACTCACTGCCTCCTCACAGCGCGACTTCTCAACCAGCAGCCTCGCTTCACCTGGGAACTGCTCCCCAAGCCCCCGGGCTAGTTAGTGGGTGGCTGTCCCTTATTTGAAGGCTCTGGCGCACAGCTCCTGGCTAGCCCAGGCAGGGAGCAGAGCCAGCTCTGGAGCGGGCGAGTAGGGAGAGCGTTGCCATGAGAACGCTGCCGGTCCTCGGCTGCTTTCTGAAGCAGAACAGGGAAGGAGCCGCGTTTGCAGAGTGGGAGCAAACAGGGGGGTGGATTCAGACAAAAATAGGAGCAACCTGGAGGGAACAGCACATAGGAAGTGAGGACAGCTTGAATCGGAATGAGATTAGCGCAGCTTGAAAGCAAGAACGCGGACCCTGATGGATGGGAAGCCAGCCTGGGTACGAGAGGACAAGGAGCAAGTTGAGGCAGTGGCAAAAGGTACCTGAAAGATCTCGTTTTGTGTAGTCTAGAGTTGAACAGCTGAGGACAAAGAGAAGTCAACTAGAAGCAGTACAGCCAAGAGAAGCTATTCCCAAATTACAGATTTTTGGAAGCATCCTAGCGGAAGCAGCAGCAGCATTTGGGGAGGATCTGGAGTAGAAAGTAGGAGAATGAGAGCAGCTTGGAGATCTCTGCCTGGGGAGCAACACTGCGGTGTAACCAAAGACCCTGCAGCTGCCTGCGCATCAAAGCGGCAGAGCGGACAGACAAGCACCAGCAGAGCAGCTCGTGGGAAGGCACACAAGGCACTGGCCGTAAGGCCTCACCAGTTTGAGGGCTAACATGGGATGGACGAGGCTGCGCTGGACAGAAGCGAGTCACCACCTCCGCACAGCACGAGCACCACTTGCTGCCTTCGCCTGCTCTCCCTTGCTGCTTCACCAGGCTCAGCCCTCTCAGCAGGCAGACGCTGCAGTTCCACACGAACAAGCTCTGGCCGTGGAAACAAGCCAAGACACACCCAGGCAGAAGCCAGGGCTTTCGCTTCCCAGAGGCAAGAATCCACAACCAAGCCCCAGTGGCACCAGCAACCCCCTTGGGTATGAACGAGCCAGTTCTCATTCTCCACTAGCCAGGGATACTCCGACT